ACGCACAGTTCTCAGTCGATGGTCTTCCATGAAAGAAAACGAAAAAGCTGAGTTGCTGAAAGTTCTTCAATTTTATCTCTTCGAACGTTTCGCTCGACCAGACTCATCCTTCCTAGCGAAGAAAACGGCTCAAGTTCTTGCTCTCATGGCATGTTGTGATGGATTGCACTTATGCGCGTCTTTGCTCGAAGAAGTCAAATCTTACTTGCTTTCTTGTCTCCAAAATCGCGATTTTGTGAAAATTACGACCGGGTTATATTCCCTTCGAGTCATAATTGAACAGATGCTGAGTCCATGTGAAGCTATTGGTTCAATCAAAACAAATGAAATTCAACGATGGTTTATTACTGAGTCAGTTACAGTGTACAATTTGCTTTCACGTGTGATGTTGTTCCTGTTAGATGCAGAAGTGATGAATCGCACACAAACACTGTTACGTGGTTCACCATCCGCGGGAAATCGTTCCAGTCTGTCTGAAGCTGGATATCCGGCATTTCAACTCACCCAAGCCTTGATTAATGATGTATCGGAACAATCTGTGAATAAATACAACGCTCTGTTAGCTTGGCTGGAGTGTCTGATGGAGTCGTTCAAACGACTTCCCCCTGACTGTAACTTTCTTGATGGCTTTTGTAATGCGTTATTTCTTCTTTCTCTAATTGGATCCCCCACGTTCATATCAGCTTGTTCAACTGGCAGTAATTTATCGGTGAACAACTATTCTTCAAATTCTTTACTTAGTTCAGTTTGTCTCACTTCTCTCGCATGCATTCAAGAGATGGTTGATCGCAAAGACCTAACGACGGAAGTGATGCAGAGGAATCTTTGGAATTTATTCCCCATTTTACAATATCATCTTAGTTTGAGCACGGGAGAAACGGCTATGCCGTGGTCTGTAACAAACGGAGGCCAACATCAAGTTAGGTCTTACAACAAGAATTTGGCAGAAACTGTGGCAGCGGACACTGAGAGTCAGGTGAACACCACGGAGTATCAGCTGAAACTACTCGACATCCTCAAGAGTGTGATGACGAACTTTTTCCATCAACTTTTTAGTTCGACACCTTTAGCCACTACAGTGGGTGTCGACCCATTTCGTTTTCTTGGCTTGCTTCATGATTTTACATTTGCTACACTTGATTTGGACACTTATGTATCAAGCTTAAGCGTTTGGAATGCTTTCCTAGAATTTCTAAATGTACAATACTGTTCAAGTTCAGACAAGCTAGGTTCGTCTTGCATGGACTCACTTCCTTCCAATCTTCATGAATCATTGTTCACATTAGGGAAAGCACTATTTTCTCGCCTCTTGCATTCAGAATCTGCTAACTTTCTCGAAACGTTGGACCAAGATGTTTCCGAGGATGGTTCGGAATATACAACTTACTACTCTTCAGACACACCAGAAAACCACGATGTGATGGTACTTTTTCGCCATGACAATTCTTTAAACAAGGTGACCTCTGAGCCATCGGAGTATCGTATGTTTTTGCGAGAGACATTAACAACGCTGGCTGCAGTGCTTGGTTTCGTACCTGGACCCTTGATCAATGTTATTCTTGGTCGATATTACGCTGCCTGGAATGATTACGTTAACTTCATTCAGTCCTCTGATGTACTTTCCTCCGGTGGGGTAGTTTTTCAACTACGAAGTCAACCGCTTCATCGAGTTCATTGGTCTTTGAGGGATTTCGCTACAATTACACAGACGGTGGGTTTCGTCATGGACTCTATCAGCACTTCCGTTTCATCTTCTATTCATGACATTCTACAGTCTTTACTCTATTGTTTGATCCTCAATAATCAGGTGGTAACACATCTAAACTCTTTGAAACAACCTTTAATTCGGTCGGATATAATTACTGTCATCGTGGAGAACCTCATGACATTACAGTCCATTATTCTCGGGAATTATTTACTATTGACGAGTGACCAATCAGCTATGATACCTGGAAAAATCCCTCTCAGTGCAGAACAAAAAGATTTGCTCATGACTCAAATAATGCAAGCATTAGCTGCGTTTTGTTTGCCAGTAAACAGTCTTCCATCGACCGTTCCACCCCCGATACAGGTTTGTAGCGCCAGGCTGTTTAATGCGATATGCACATCTACTCTTTTCAACGAATCGTCAATAAATCCTTCTCCAAAGACAAACTCATCCACAATACGTGATATTTTCTTCCAATTTATGGAAATCTTATGTGACGAGAAACAGCGTGCTCTTCTCCCGTTCAACGTACTGCGTATTCTTTTACGCAGTTGTGTGCAATTTCTGGCTCCACTTCCTCTAGAGGAAGCAACCGTTACCGGTGATCTGCTGGAGAGGTTGGTATTGCGCTGTTACTCTCCTTACCTAAAACAAAACGTCTTACATGAAGACCCAGTCGTGCATATGCTCAGTTTGGGTTTACTGAACGATGCAGTCGATGGGATGGACTCCCTGTCCAGCTATGCTCGACGTCATATGCAAACGATCCTTGCCGGGTTAGGACTTCTCGAAGAGTTGGTGTTGTGCGCCACTCGTATTTTGTCCACTGACGTGCACGCATCGATTAATGTGATTCGTGCATGTACTGCATATCTGACTTTTTTCACCACCTATATCCGTGTATTGTCACAAACTGGAGCGATCGGTTCAACTATCCCGGAGTTGCTAGGTCGCATAATTCGTGCCCTCTACTCAAACTCAACGGGTTCTCAGTGTGACTCGTTTATCCCCGCTTGTTTGATCGATCGTCTGTTGAATATGTTCCTGTTGATCGCAAAAAATCGTCGGCTTTTTGTCTCATTACTGGGCGACATATTGAACCTTTGTTTGTATCGACTTCTTCCTGGTCTGGGATTCCGTCGGGATATGGATGCGGTGCCCACGGATGAAATCCTACCGGAGTTGGTCTTTTCAGCTGGAATGCATAACCCCGGTTCTCTCCAACTCTTGTGTGAATTGTTGTTTGCAGCACTATCAGAGGGTTTCGCTTTCTTCTTCGAAACCAAACCTCGCGCCAACACGTTTGGAAATGTGAATAATGCGGCCATGCAAAATTCCAATTGGTTTGCCAATGCTTCACAGCGTTACGTGTTAATCAAAGCAGATGAGTTCAATCGTATAATGCTTGTGTTGACTTCGGTGTTTCATGAACGACAAGTTAGTTCCAGCTTGATTTCATTTACCCTGGATGGCCTATGTGCACTTCATCGACTGCGCAAATTATTCGACTTGCAACCGTTCAATTCGTACTGGCTACCCGAGCTGATGCACAAACTTCTCAGTCTGCTTATCAACAAACAGCACGACTCCTCCAAGGATGCCATCTTAAGTGGACTACATTCACTGACTGTATCTGGGATGACCCAGTATGAAGTGGCTGATTGGAACAAATCTTCCACTTTTCCCAAGTGCTCTGCATTTTTTGTACAGTATTTTTTACCTGCTTTCTTCAACACATTACCTTATTTTGACGGGACCCAGCAATCCATCGTCTTAGCACACTTTTATCGATCTTCTCAAACAGTTTCACCAAATGCGCCAAATCCGGTTGAATTGATCGATCTTTCGAACCTTGATACTTTCGGTCAGTTGATTACCCAGTTGGTGATCGATTTACGAGCTTTCCGTGCGAACAGTGCTACTAAGACCAGTCTGCCATCGCCTTCTGATCCGGAGAAGACTACATAAAGTGCTGAATAAACATCCCAGGTAAACCTGATTTGTTTTTTTAAATTTCGCTTTTCATCGCATCGGCGAGAGGCACGAAATAGTTCTTTCATAAAATTTAGAGCCATCTTGTCTTTCCCCTCATGTTATCCCTCTTGCACTAATCTCCACTATTTTATCTGATTGATCTGACTCTTATTTCCATGAAAATCTCTAGCGGAATTTGAATTCACTTAGAATTTCCCGAGCACCGTCCTTATAATAATGTACGCTCAGATTCTTAATCAGGTTGTAACTTGTGGATATTGTATTATACGGTTGTTGTCTGGTTGTTTCCGTGAATCCCCTATATGGTGATCTACACCTGTACTTCATATATCGTCATTATATGCATTAGTTATTTTCAATTTGATCACCAACTTTGGGGTCTGTTTCGTTTTTTATTTGCAGTAATTAAGTGCTTATACAATGCACTACATAGAGTGAAAGTTTGTGTGTCTGCATGGGAGCAGCACATCCGGAACAACAAACTACGTACGTCCACTGCCGCACGCTTGACCATATGGCTGAAAATACGGATTTCGATATATAACGCTGCAAGCAGATAGTTTTACATGTAACCCATTGTCTTTTCTATACGTATTCATTCATTCGACTGGTAAAAATTTCATAATATTTGTATTCAGTTACGAAATAGGCACTACAACTGCAGTCCGACGGTTTAACGTGCTCGATAGTTATCGCAACATGTGGTTTCCCTATTCCACGCATTATTCGCTTGAATTACTCCCTCTTCTTCTCTTCAGCTTTTCCACAATATATTCCATCAAGATAGTCAATATCCAGATGTTGCCTTTGCCTAGTGTTCCAACTTTGTTCATTTGTAGTCCACCTCTGGTTCGTGAGGCAATGTCATTCTTTGCTCGCTGTCTTTTACATTACAGATACTCAGGTATAGTCCTGGAAATTGGTCACTAATTCTAGCTGGGGGCATATATTGTATCTTTGACCAACCGGTTCGTGGTCTCTCACTAGCAGATTTTACGGATCAGCTCCACTGGTCGTCTTTGTGTTCTTTTCAAGTTAAGAGGTAACTCTCTCGTCAACCCGATTACTAGCTTCGCAACATCTGGGTGAAGGAGCGTATCCCTTGATCCTGGGGTGAATCGTTGATCATTCCGATCTCCAAGAAGGGAGTACGCAACGACTGCGCCAACCGCTGCGGGATTATTTTAGTTCCTTTAATCACAAAAGTGTTAACCTGTGTGATGCTTCGTCTCCTCACATTCTTAAGGGAGAATAATATTCGCGGACAGCAAGCCAGATTCCAACCAGGTTGCAGTAGCATCAACCAAATCTTCACTCTGCGTCCATTCCTCGAAGTGCGTCACACATCGTCCACCAAAACTCGCAGTGTTCCTTGACCTGAAAGGATCCTTTGATTCAGTTGACCATGGATCCCTAATGGGTGCACTGCTTCGTAAAGGAATGCTGCAGGGCAGGTAAACCTATTGCGATCACTGTACCTGCATACGTCTGGTAGCGTAAGGGTCTACGGTAGGCTAGACGAATCGTTCGGAACTGGGAGCGATGTTCATCGATGGTGTCTTATTTAGTCATTCCTATTCGACTTCGTCGCAGATGGAATATTGGAGAACGCACTAGGTGGTCTCCAAAATGTCGGTATTGAATGAGCAACTGGAGAAAAGTTGTACGATTAAGAGTACGCGGACGACATCGTTTGTCTGTTCGAATGTATGGTGGCTGCGAAAGGCGCTCCTAACAGAATTTTAAGTTCTGTAACTTCATTCGGTATGTGCTTTGCGCCTTCAACATGCAGAGTGATGCTGCAAGACTGAGTGTCGTCTATCTTGGCTCTGGTGCTTAATGGTCAATGATTAGTTATATTCGATTGCTTCTCGTAATTAGGTAGTTGCGTAACACATAACGGTAGCGTAGTCAGTGAATTAACCGCTCGCATTTTCAAGGCTCGGACAGCTTTCGCAGGACTAAAACACCTTTGGTGTAGACGTGATGTTTCTTTAAAGCTGAAAGGTTGTG